AATCGTCTTTCACAATTGCACGTGCTTGTCTATTTATATATAACATTTTTTCTATATATAGTCAGCAGAGTTTAAGAACATCAGTTGTTCGACCTGCTAGTCAAATGCGTTTTGCTAAAATATACTTTTTCACTCATTTGGTCTTTTGGAAAATGTTGTTTGTGCTGTATTTAGACCCCTCCACTAAGAAATTTGTTTTGCATGCACACGTATAAAAATTGCGGTTTTTATCCAACGCAATCATAGGTTTGAACGTTGTTGCGTGAACCCCTGAGGGTTCACGCATATTTATTAGTTAGAAATATAGTCTATGGAGGAATATTCGGAAGCTAAATTATTGCTCATTCAGAACACCTATTCATCTTATCTGTATTAGCTTCCTGCAATTAAGAGCACCTCCATACGGTGTATCTAAGATATTTAAAACATGGCAATAAAGAATTTTCACAGATCGCTAATTCACTTATCTGATATATAATAATAAACAATCTATAGATCCTTTTCAAACATGTATATTTATTGTAAAGCTACATTTTATGCATTGCAAGGGTTTACTGACTTGAGCAAATTTGACAGTTGTACCCTTTGATAAACAAGTGAAAGTTAAATTGTCAAGATTTAATGATAACGACCTATGGTATCAAACATCTGTGTGTAGATATTCACAGAGAGATATTTTAAAATAGTGCTGTGGTTTCTACATAATAAGTTATAGTGGGCTTTGGGATTTGATTTGTAACAATAAAATCATTATGCACACTTGTCATTTTGACAAATCAGATAAAAAAAAATCGGTTTCAAATGAAAATAAAACAAGTAAAATAAAGATTGTTCGTTAATATACATTTTTACAACTTTTACTGTTTCCTTTGTACAGTATTCTCTATCAATTAAGTTATCTTGTAAGTTAATTAAATGTTTATTTAATTCATTGATGTCACTATTATTTCAGTGACCGCTGCCGAAATTAAGTCTTGACTCGTTCAAGAGACTACTGCATGCACATTAAATTTCAAGTCCCATGTTTTTATTTGCACCATGTATAAATGTTATGTACAGCACTAATTATTTCCTTTCTGTTAAAATTATTTTTGGACTTGTTAAGTATGCAAGCGCACACCAAACAGTGACAGGATAGTCAACCAAATGACAGTGGTCACTTAGTGGTAGAAGTAGAAATTTCTTATATTATTCACACACTGTAATGCTCTTAAATGTATGTGTGTTTTGAATGCATGTGCACTAGTGATTGGTAAATATTGATACGTTTCTGTGTTTTTAATATATGTGACTTAACATTAAGAATTCCATTATTATGGAATCGTTCACTTTTGTACACATCGGTATCTAAATAGAGGTTGGTAAAAAGGAGGGTCTGAACACGGAAACACGTGAAATAACAAATCGCAAAAACGTTGTACGAAAAAAAAAAACACTTTGGAAAAACGAAGCCAAGGAATAAAATCGTAAATATTAAGGAAAAAAGTACCAAAAGTTATTACTCAGCCGTTCTTGGAGATCATGCATTCATTATAAATGGACATGTCGACCCTGCATGTGGTCACCTTTTAGCGTCCGTTAGTTGCATCCGATTTATCATATTAATACAATAGGCTATTAATAAATATCTTGGGACCATTTAATTAGTTTATAATTTAAAACAATATTAGGGCCGACTTTGAATTAGTCCCGGTTTACTTTTTAATCAAATGCTGGACAAGCACGAGAAAATAAGAGTACCGACACGAAACACGGAAAATAATTAAGGGAAAACACGAAGCACGCACATCGAACCAAACACGAGAAAACAAGAAATAAAACGTCGAAACATGGAAACACGTAAAATAAAAAGGCCGAAAACGTTGCTCGAAAATAACCCTTTACCACCCTCTAAATAGGCCATACTAGATGTCGACACCTCATATTAGAACTTAAGTAGATGGTCAATTTCGTTTGCAAGGTTAAAGAAATCTTCAACTTGCTCTGATTTGCCTGTGAAGACCATAAAACCGTCATCCCTATTGACAGTGTAATTTGATGTTTTCTCTCCATTGGAACTTATCTAAGATTTTAATGAATAGGGCAGACAGATGCAGATCTGTGCATGTTGGTGACAATGGGTGCTCATATTATGTGTTTAACAGTCCATTAAACTCAAATTCATTGTTTCTAAGAATTAATTTAACAAATGCAGTTAAATCTATTTTGTTGAGAATCTTTAAAGTATATTCTCCTGTGTGTCATTAAATTCTAATGCAAATTTTTGATAACAGTTTATTCTAAATTATCAATGATCATATTTGTGTACATTGACGTACATCATAGGCAATAAGAATGCATACTTTTTTTACCTCGTGTGACTCTATTTTATTAATGATTTATTTTGTATCTTGAATGTAAAAGTTATGCCTCTTCAATAATTGGATGTTGGATGTGTACTAATTGATAATTTAGTCTTAGATGCATGATTTTTTTAATTGGTTGTTAGTGGCTTGAACTAGCTGTCAGTAACTGCGAGTACTCTCAGATCTGTACTTAGTGTCTATTTGTTGTTGGGATATACAAGTATCCGGCCACGTCCACTCTGTGTAGTATTTCTTTTTGTATCCATCTGATGAGTTAAGCCTTTTTCAACTGATTTTTATAGTTCGTTCTTATGTTGTACTGTTACACCACTGTCCCAGGTTAAGGGGAGGGTTGGGATCCCGCTAACATGTTTAACCCCGCCACATTCTGTATGTATGTGCCTGTCCCAAGTCAGGAGCCTGTAATTTAGTGGTTGTCGTTTGTTGATGTGTTACATATTTGTTTTTCGTTCATTTTTTGTACATAAATTAGGCCGTTAGTTTTCTCGTTTGAATTGTTTTACATTTGTAATTTCGGGGCCTTTTATAGCTGACTGTGCGGTATGGGCTTTGCTCATTGTCGAAGGCCGTACGGTGACCTATAGTTGTTAATGTCTGTGTCATTTGGTCTCTTATGGAGAGTTGTCTCATTGGCAATCATACCACATCTTATTTTTTTATATTTATAATTAGATCAAGTAATTATCTTTCGCGGGAGAGTTACACTTATTGATGATTGGTCGGTAACGAACATTAATGTGTCCTGCTAGCTGACCAGTTCGAAATGCCTCATTACTTATTTCTAGATTAATTTTATGAATTTTTGGAAGACGGTACATGTGTCCTCCATGTTTTGAATTATCATTATTCTTTCAGAAATTATACGTCTGGGACTCTTTTTTTCTCTCTCCTTGCTTTATATTTAACACTTCTCTCAACATGCCAAAATTGTAATGATTTACAATAAAAAGAAAATATTATCCTCCAAACACATGGCCAAGATAACACTGATATACAATTTCTTATTCAGTTGAATTATTAATTAGAATAAAAAAGTGCTTAGGTTCACGTATTGTCTTTTTTTAAAAAAGCAACTTGTTTTCAATTTAGACTTGTATATATATATATAGCGTCTTTTCCTTAAATACGCAGGAAATGATGATACTTTATCACCATTTTACGCATTGGTTATTGTTTCCTATGGAACTTAATTCGTAATTTTATTTAATGATTTAAAATATAATAAATTAAATTAGAGAGTTTAATGCAATTTAGGGTAATAAAATTGGCATCTCATGCCCTTTAACAAAACGAAAAATTGCAAAAGCCTTTCGGATTTTTTAATTTAATTGTCAGAATCTGTTATTTTTCCTAAGACATTAACAAGGTGAGGACTTTTGATATATATTTCACTTTTGTGAAGAAGTTTATAAAAAACAAATCATCATAGTTGAATTCGAGATGACGTTTCGATAATCGGGCAACGCATAAACCAAGACAAGCTGAGCATTCACAGTTTGTCTTTAAACAGAACCCGTCAAAGTTGTATGTCATCAAAACGATCAACTAAACAATACTACATAAGGGCCAATGTGAATGATTGTACCCTGGTATTTCTGTACAGGGCCTTATAATGTAGCATTTGGTGCGCATGTAGTTATGGAAACGTTTTTCCTCAGTGTTTTTTTGTGTACTACAGTTATCTTGGTAAGAGGGGAGCAACTTGGCATCATATTACACATTCATGTTCAGATCATATTACACATTCATGTTCAGATCATATTACACATTCATGTTCAGATCATATTACACATTCATGTTCAGAATTATATTACACATTCATGTTCAGATCATATTACACATTCATGTTCAGATCATATTACACATTCATGTTCAGATCATATTACACATTCATGTTCAGAATTATATTACACATTCATGTTCAGATCATATTACACATTCATGTTCAGAATTATAAAAGAGGTAAATTGTCGTTCTGTAATGGATAATATATAAAATCTTTACTCAAACTTCAACAGATTCAAAATTCATAACTGAGTCACATAATTATATATTATATATATTTTCTTCACATCTTTTACTATTTCATATATGATTGCCTAAAAACACAACTGAAGCCGAATCAACCCCTTTTAAATAAAATATTTTGACTTTAAAGATGAATAAAAAGATGTATTGTTTATTTCTTAATGAGACAAAAAAGCTAAAACTCAATTAAAACCGAAGTGACATCTGAAGGGTAACATAGGTCTTTAACAATAGTTTATCTTACTTTTAAAGCGGCCTCTTGATTGTTAATAGACAGAGAAAGAAAGAGAGAGAGAGAGAGACAGCCTTATTTCGAATGACTATTCCGAACGACTTGTCCTACACTTTGCACCCTGTAGATTAAGAAACTACATGATGGGATAATTTATGGTTTATATCTATATCATAAGCAATCCAGAATACTAAATTATTTGAGTCATAACAGTTTGGAAAATGACAGGTGATTTCGGTTTAGCAAGTTCCAGAGGGTTTCCTTTACACTTCCAAACTTCAACTAAATATGATGACTTTGATTTTAGTGATAATTTGTGGTTTATAGCTATTTTATCATAAGCAATCCAGAATACTAAATTATTTGATTCTTACGAGTCATAACAGCTTGAAAAATGACAGGTGATTTCTGTCTAGGATTTCTCAGAGGTCTTCCCCTATAGTCCCGAACTTCAACTGAATATGATGACTCGGATTTTGGCCCACTTGGCTGTGACTGTAGAACAGGGGCAGACAGTCTGTAAATATTCAACAACACTAATAAATATTTCTATCTGGCAAAATAAGATATTGTTATTAATGGTTGAACCTGTGTTACTCATATTGAACAATGATATCAGTCTGTCACAGCAGCTTTTAAAACTTTCTTCGTAAGTCACTATTTCTCATTCTAAATATGCAATAAAATGCCGTACGGTGACCTATAGTTGTCAGCTTGTAGGTCATATGGTCTCTGACGGATTATGATCTTTCAATGGTACTTTCAAACGCAATGTACAATTGAAAGCCAGAGTAAAGAAAAACAACTTGAAAGTTTGATGTTCAAATAAAAATGTTAAAATTGAGGCAGAAGATACCAAGATGGCATCCAAAACAACCCAAAAGTAGAAGATAAACTGAGAGCGACAATGCAAAACAACCCAAAAGTAGAAGATAAACTGAGAGCGCCAATGCAAAACAACCCAAAAGTAGAAGATAAACTGAGAGCGCCAATGCAAAACAACCCAAAAGTAGAAGATAAACTGAGAGCGCCAATGCAAAACAACCCAAAAGTAGAAGATAAACTGAGAGCGACAATGCAAAACAACCCAAAAGTAGAAGATAAAATGAGAGCGCCAATGCAAAACAACCCAAAAGTAGAAGATAAACTGAGAGCGCCAATGCAAAACAACCCAAAAGTAGAAGATAAACTGAGAGCGCCAATGCAAAACAACCCAAAAGTAGAAGATAAACTGAGAGCGCCAATACAAAACAAAAATCAAAGCACGAAAGCGCTGTAAAGGCAGTTAATTACAGGTTGTGTGTATTTTTAGTCCAGTTATATCATTATCTTGCATAGTACGTTGTACTTATCAGAGGTGGCTTTCAGTATTTAAGATTTAGAGTTCTCTAATGATATTGAACAAGTTTTATGAATGTCATATTCTGAGCACTATATGAAGGCGATTGTTCTCATTTGTTTATGAACTAGTGCATTATGTCCAGTTTGTACCTTTTTGATCTATGTTTATAGTCAAATACTGTTAAAAATAGTTTGGCATTTTCTTTTTAGTAATAAGTAAATGTTATCAATTGTATTTTATTCGACTTTGCAAATGTGGTTTGTTACTGGTAAGTACAATGTATGGGTGATAGTTGTTTCATTGGCAATCATGACACATCTCCTTATTTATATAATGATCTATATTCAACGACCTCAGGTACAAAAAAAATGTATGTAACTAAACTATGATGGGAAAACTTTGACTTCTTTCTTTTATATAAACTTTTGATTTGGTACCATAAAACTATGTAGAATAAATGTACATTGCAACATGTCAACTCTTTCAATGACAATACTTTTTTTAGAAACTTTAACTCAAAGCAAAATTATATTTCCAAGTATAAAGTAATTTATGAATGAAACAAGAGTGCACACGCTGAAATGTCTCGCCTTCTTTACTAATCATTGATATTATGTTGATAGTCCTAAATATAAAGCTTTATTACAACTGTCACATAAACTTAACATTAACCAAGTAAACTAAACATTGGCCAATGAACCAAGAAAATGAGGTCAAGGTCAGATGAACCATGCTAGGCAGGCATGTACAGCTAACAATTCTTCCATACAACAAATATAGTTGACCTATTGCTTATAGTTTAAGAAAAACAGACCAAAACACAAAAACTTAAAACTGAGCAATGAACCTTGAAAATGAGGTCAAGGTAAAAAAAAACCTGTGTGACTGACAAATAGATCATAAAATATTTCCATACACCAAATATAGTTGAACTATTGCATATAGTATTAGAAAAAAAGACCAAAACTCAAAAACTTAACTTTGACCACTGAACCATGAAAATGAGGTCAAGGTCAGATGACACCTGCCAGCTAGACATGTACACCTTACAATCATTCTATACACCAAATAAAGTAGACCTATTGCATACAGTATAAGAAAAACAGACCAAAACACAAAAACTTAACTATAACCACTGAACCATGAAAATGAGGTCAAGGTCAGATAACACCTGCCAGTTGGACAGTCCTTCCATACACCGAGTATACTAGACCTATTGCTTATAGTATCTGAGATATGGACTTGACCACCAAAACTTAAACTTGTTCACTGATCCATGAAATGAGGTCGAGGTCAAGTGAAAACTGTCTGACGGGCATGAGGACCTTGCAAGGTATATACATACCAAATATAGTTATCCTATTACTTATAATAAGAGAGAATTTAACATTACAAATAAAATGCTCCGCAGGGCGCAGCTTGATACGACCGCAGAGGTCGAACCCTGAACAGTTGGGGTAAGTATGGACACAACATTCAAGCTTGATACAGCTCTGAATTTGGATTGTGATTAAGTATTTGACACAGCATAGGTTTCTGACACAGAATGAATGTGGTCTAAGAACTTAAAAATTTTAAATTGGAAATTCACCTATTATGGTCCAATATCCAAAATCTAAATACATGGTTAGATTCAGCATATCAAAGAACCCCAAAAATTCAATTTTTGATGAAATCAAACAAAGTTTCATTTTGGACCCTTTTGACCTCAATGTGGACAAAGTTGATAATGGGGCCCAAAAATCAAAAATCTAAATACATGGTTGGATTCAGCATATCAAAGAACCCCATTTATTCAATTTTTGTTGAAATCAAACAAAGTTTAATTTTGGACCCCGATTTGGACCAACTTGAAAACTGGGCCCATAATCAAAAATCTAAATACATGTTTAGATTCAGCATATCAAAGAACCCTAAGAATTCCATTTTTGTTAAAATCAAACTTTAATTTTGGACCCTTTGGACCTTAATGTAGACCAATTTGAAAACGGAACCAAAAATTAAGAATCTAAATACACGGTTAGATTCGGCATATCAAAGAACCCCAATAATTCAATTTTTGATGAAATCAAACAAAGTTTAATTTTGGACCCTTTGGACCTCAATGTGGACCAATTTAAAAACGGGGCCCAAAATCCAAAAACTTAATACACGGTTAGAATCAACATATTAAAGAACCCCAAGAATTCAAGAATAAAACCCCATTGAAATTGGTCAAGAAATAGCAATTTATACGAAGTATCTTCTTTTGCACAATACTGTGCAATTGAATATTTCTTGCTATTGCGCAATATTGTACAATTGACAATTTCTTGCTATTGCGCAATATTGTGCTATTGGATATTTATTGCTATTGCACAATACTGTGCAATTGAAGATTTCTTGCTATTGCGCAATACTGTGCAATTGAAGATTTCTTGCTATTGTGCAATACTGTGCAATTGAAAATTTCTTGCTATTGCACAATACTTATTATATAATAAATTTACACATCCTGTTTGGTGTGTATCTCCTACCATATCATTATTATTTGCTTTTAAATATAAAACAGAAATAACCAACTTAAAATGGAAAATTTTAAAAGAAAAAAATAGGAAAAAAAGAAAAAAAAAGGAAAAAAAAAAAAAAAAAACCCAAATTTTTTGAACCCCCTTATGATTCATCACCCCCAAACTCAATCCCAGCCTTCCCTTCGTGGTATGATACCTTGCAGTACAATTTCAGAGAGATCCATACACTTGAACACAAGTTATTGTCTGGAAACTAGAAAAATGCTTATTTTTGGCCCCTTATTCCTAAACGTTTTGGGCAATTACCCCCAAACTCAATTCCAGCTTTCCCTTCGTGATATGGAACCTTGTAGTACAATTTCAGAAAGATCCATACACTTACACACAAGTTATTGTCATGAAACTAGAAAAATGCTTGTTTTTTGCTCCTTTTTTGGCCCCTAATTCCTAATAATTTGAGGCAATTACCCCCAAAATCAATCCCAGCATTCCCTGTGTGATATGGAACCTTGTGGTACAATGTCAGAGAGATCCATACACTAACACACAAGTTATGTCTGGAAGTTACAAAAATGCTTATTTTTGGCCCCTAATTCCTTAACTGTTGGTACAATAACCCCCAAAATCAATCCCAACCTTCCTTTTGTGGTATTGAACCGTATGGTAAAATTTCATAGAGATCCATTCACTTAAACTAAAGTTAGAGTGCGAAAACCAATGTGTCTTCGGACGACGCCGGAGTCATACCAATATACGACCGCAAAAATTTTTTTGCGGTCGTATAAAAATCTTAACTTTTTTTTCAAGTAGTCACTGAACCATGAAAATGAGGTCAAGGACATTGGACATGTCACTGACGGAAACTTCGTAACATGAGGCATCCATATAAAAAGTATGAAGCATTCAGACCTTCCACCTTCTAAAATATAAAGCTTTTAAGAAGTTAGCTAACGCCGCCACCGGATCACTATACCTATGTCGAGCTTTCTGCGACAAAAGTCGCAGGCTCGACAAAAAGGAGTTCTTAATTAAGAAATAAACTGATTCGCTGAGCGCAGCTTGATACACCTGCAGAGGTCCAACCCTGAACAGTTGGGGCAAAAATGGACACAATATTCAAGCTTGATAGAGGTCTGAATTTGGATTGTAATTAAATATTTGACATATTATAGTTTCTGAATAAATGTAGTCAAAGAACTTGAAATCGGTTATATGAATTGAATTTATATTCAATTAAAGATTTCTTGCTGTTGTGCAATACACTGTGCTGTTGCGCAATACTTAATAAATCTGTTGCCAGACTATAAACAAATAAAGTTCAATTTCTTCTCAATGTCATATTTGAAATTTATGAAAATCAATAGGGAGATTACATCAATAGCTATAAATAATTCACCAAAGTTTCATGCGAACTGCTTAAAGCATTTTTGAGTTGTTGTCCAAAAACTGGAAAATCCCCCCTTTTTTATTGAATAAAACCCCACAACTCAGAAATGTAAAATCTAAAATTTATAAAATTCTAAAGGGAGCTTACGGATTGATAATTTAGTCTTAGATGCAAGATTTTTTTATCAGTTGTTAGTGGCTTTGAACTAGCTGTCAGTAAATGCGAGTACTCTCAGATCTGTACTTAGTGTCTTTTAGTTGTTTGGATGTACAACTACC